TATATATAATGTAGACGCGCAATAGCTATCCAAAAAGTGCAAGATAATGAAGAGAAATAATTCATGATGAAGAAGATAAGAACAACCCTGAAACAAAATTCTCAGCAGAACCAATCTCCGTTGCAAATAAAACAATGACTCAAACCAGCAAAAGCATGCACAGTTACACAGCAAAGAAACCTAATGATTTTGTTGATGATACACTGCAAACATAAATATATCGATAAATTTCGTTCCAGAAAGCACACAACTAAAGTCGTTCAATCGGAACACTAATTTACCTGATCAGTGGATGTGTTCAAAAAAACAACCGAAAATAATTGAGCGTTATACGCGACATAAACTGACCTATAAAGAAGTCGAATAGCACGAACTCTATAAGGTAAATCTTGTTAAATTTGTGCGCGCAATGAACTGAACAAAAAGCGTTGTACATTAAACCACACCTAAAAACTCAGTTTCAATAGTAATGCATTTGCAAGGAAAAGTGCCTACTTTTAACATCAAACATTTGCATGGAACACCAATGAGATAAAAGAAACGCTAATGAGACGGCTTATAATATGAATTCCCTGTGAATTATTTTTTGCTAGCAGAAAGAGATCACGATGAAGAAAATCTTTGCATCTTTCACTCATGATAAACGATGATATGACAATTGTTCATAAAAACATCCACTGATAGCATAGTTAAATTACTGAATCTGCTGAAAAACTCGTATAATGACCTTAAAAGAGACGGATTAAAAAGAGCGCAGTGTAAACGAAATACGGGAAGAAGTAAAGCTTTGCAAACAATTCGGTGGATACGATGATAGCCCATCAAACACACTCCGTTATGGGTTAATCGTCATATGAGCTGCATTCCGATATATGAACGTGTTTCAAGAGTCCATAATTTCATCAAATATACGACAACATTGTCGCATTACATCTACGAAATATCTGCGCATTTATGTGCACAAATGAACACTGAAATTATCAATGGATTGAGCGGATTTGATTAACTAAAGAAATAAACCGGATGGATATGCGAACAAATTGTAGGTGCAAATGTTGAACGATGGATAATCAAGTGAGTTTCTTTTGCTTGAAGAAGACGACCCAAATTATTATACACATCTCTAACGCATCTGCTCTCACTCACTTATTTAGCTCCCTTTTGCTTCGATTCCACTATGTTTCCACGTACGAAAACATTACTTTCATATGAATAAACACACTCAATCGTAAAACCGACTGAATATCAAACACTTTGAAACTCTAATTATGCATAAGACATAATCAGATGACCTTATCTGAATTGAATCATCACAGCAATGTTTAATCCCATTCCACTCAATCATTCACCACCCTTTCAGTGCTTCTTTATCAGGTCTCGAATTCGAACTATCCATTTCTGGTTGAGTCTACATCATTGAACTCCCGTGAAAAAACGATCATCGAAAGTACAACACAAAACAATTGGAACTATAGTATACATGCATCATAATCAAAAAGGTCATAAATACCGCCATTAATCACTGCTCTCTTGATTCGTTTCTTTTTTGTCTTAATCGATACAATTCCTTCTTTTCAATTCATGAAATGAAAATTGTACAATGCATTCCATTCCTCGTTAACGCTCCAAATCGCACTCAATTAGCGATGAACAAATAGTTCTTGCGAATGACAATGCTTATAGATTTAGTTATATAAACATAAATACTGTGTTATACCATTCAATCCAAGCTAGTGAAAAAAGTGGACTTATGTTCTACTTTGTGAAAAAAAAAACACTCCGATTAACACTTGATTACGGTCGACGAAAAAAACAACGAAACACTGCTCTCAGAATTACTTGTAAGCATTAAATAGTAAAAAAAATGAATGGTAAGAGAAAAAAGAAGATAAAACAAAATGTTAACTACGAAAAAAGGTGAAGCATTTGATGAATCACAACTGGAATAGGAGCATATTACAATGAGCGTGCAGGAGCGCGTCACAATCTCACATTACGAATGCTCAACGCGAAAAAAGCGATTAAAATACAATGAATATCTGAGAATTGAATTGTTGCTGAATCTATTGAAGCTATCGATTAGGGTAAGTGAAAGCAAATAATATGCAAATTTAATGAAATGTGGTTATTTTTCACTACAATTATGAGATTCATCCCGAAAAAGAGAACACATTCACGAGCAATCATCATATGGTCTCTAATAACATTCATTATTTGTATATTCTCGGTTCAGACCGAAAACAATCATAGCTGAATCAACGATAATTAAAATAGCAAATTGGTTTTAGATAAGATGACAAAGATCATACGAAACACCTCAATAATATCACATCACTTCTAAAATCATTAACCAGTTGCTTACCTATGAGCTGTCATTAGCCAATTATCATACTAGCATGTGCGGCACTGGTTTGACTACCAATTTTTCAGTTTGATTTTAACATTTAACTTCAAAGACTGCTGAAGATAACTGCGAATGTAAAGCACTGATATATATATTGAAACTCTAAAAAATGACACGATACACTGAACTAATTCACTGATGTATTGTCCATCAACGTATTTTCCACTGAATTGATTGTCGAACAGTGTGGGGGAGTGATTACTTTAAAAGTGACGAAATCATGACAAGCAAATTTCTCAAAACGATAAAAATAACGAAATTTACGGTCAGATTTTACATATCGGCTAAGGTGAATAATGAATAATGGAATACAACGTAAATAAATTACGTATTTTCGATCGAAATTTGGTTATAATCATTAAATGAACGTATGTATACGTGTCACGATTTAGCGTTTTCATAGAGTCGGCGGCATGCTCTTTCAATAATCAGGCGAATAG